TGAACTGCAGGGTTTTCTCAAGAATCCAGACTCTGATTTCACAAGTTTATGAAATTTACAAATCAATACATTTAGAGTCACAGTCGAGCAATTCAGGGGGCAATTGTCAACAGGTATGCTTCTGAAATTCATTATGTTTTTGTCTTCAAAGAACCACAAGAGGTGGGACTGCAGGAGAATAAATAGCTTTCCAAAGAATCCTGACTGTATTTTATAAAAAATTCATAAAAAATAAGTTTTATGCCTCCTGTGACACAAAGTCTTAATCAAATAAGTGCTTTGAAAAGCTGCATTGTTGGAAAATTCTCAGCCAATGTAATGAAAGCTCCAAACTGTTAGTCATACAACGTTTTCCAAAATTAGTTTCTAATTTCAGGGGCTTTTTTGTGCTTATTAGCATGAGGAGGGAGAGTGGGAAACTGCTGCTGCTAGGGCCTGTTATATTACCCATAAGCTCTCTAGAGATGGCAAAAGAACCTCTGATGAGCCCATCTTGGTTAGGTCAGACTGGATGGCACCAAGACCAATTTCTGGTCTTAACTCCTGTTAGGCTCTGGAACTGCCAGCTGTCAGGGAGGCACCTGCTTTTAATGAGGAATCTGGGGGTTGCTGAGGAGGGTCCCTCTGACAAAGAACAGGGTCCCCAGCCACTGGGCTGTCTTTACCCAGATATCTGAATGAAGGCAGTACATTCACACATACAAGTCAGCATTCCAGCCATGTTTTTTTCACTGACAAGTATTATTTACAACATCCTGATAAGGCTGGCTAAGATCTGTGTTATTTTTTGCCAGGCTGCTTTGACCTAGCTATCCAACATGCTGGGGCCCCTGCTCTTGCAGCATCAGCTGCAGCCCTAGGTGGATGTCAATAATTGGCCAGTCTCTTTTCAGTGGTTCTCTGTGATAGGACAAGGGGAAGCAGCACCAAGTTAAAAAACAGGAAGTTCCACCTTATCATGAGGAAAAACTTCTTTACTGTAAGGGTGATGGAGAACTGAAACAGGCTGCCCAGAGATGTTGTGGAGTTTTGTTCTCTGAAGACCTTCAAGACCCATCTGGATGTGTTCCTGTGTGATCTGCTGTAGGTGTTCCTGCTTTGGCAGGGGCTTTGGACTTCATAATCTTCAGAGGTCTCTTCCAACCCCTATGATTCTATGATTCTATCATCTCTAACCTACCCCTCATTGACCAGTGGAGTCTGGTCTCCAGGCTTTTTCTCTTAAATCCAGAGTCCAGAATTCATGAAGGCTGGTCTTAGGAGTAAAGACTGAAGCAAAGGTGGCATTCAGTAACATTGTCATCTCTGCACCCTCTTACCTGGGCTCCCACCTCATTCAGTGGTGGGCCCACATTTTCCCTATTCTTCCTTGAAGCAGTGGTGTATTTGAAGAAGCCCTTCTTGTTCTCTTTTAATTCCTTAGACAGGTTTAGCTCTAAGAGGACTTTGGACCTCCTTGTTGCCCTCCTACATACCCTGACAACATTCTGTAGTTCACCCAAGTGAACTCTTCTTCCACAGACTGTGAATTTCTATCTTCCATATGGCCTGTTTCAGAAGCTCGTTGTTCATCCATGCAGGTCTCCTTTCTCCTTTACCCAATTTTTTACTTAAAGGAATGCACCTATCTTGAGCTTGAATGAAGTGGTATCTGAAAATAAACCAGCTCTCTTGGGCCCCCCTACCTTCTAGAGTCTTAGCCCCTGGGATTCCTGCAAGTAGATCTTTGAAGAGTATAAAGTTAGCCCTTGGGAAGTGCAGGGTTGCAACCCTACTTATTGCCCTGCTTCTCCCTTGTAAAATATTAAACTCTACCATGTCATGATCACTGTCACCACACTGCCCCCAGCCTTAACATCCCCAACTAGACCTTCTTTATTTGTTACTGCAATGTCCAGCATTGCACCTCTCCTCACTGGCTCTTCCACTACCTTCATCAGGAAGCTACCAGCAAGAGCCTTCTGGATTGAGTATGCCGAGCTGTGTAGGCATTCCGACAAATATCAGGGTGACTGAAGTCACTCATAAGCATTATGGCATGAGGTCAAGGGGCTACTTCCAGCTGACTGTAGAAGGCCTCATCAACATCTTCTTCCTGGTTTAGTGGTCTATAGTAGGCATGCACAACAGTTTTGCTCACATTTCCATATACCTTAATTCTTACCCACAAGCTTTCAACATGTTCTTCCTCCCTCTCCTGGGTAGACCTCAATGCATTCCAGTGGCTCTTGCACATGATGAGCAACTCCATTGCCTCATATTGTTGGTCTATCTTTCCTAAATAGTACATAGCCATCCATGACAACATTCCAGTCATGGGAGCTGTCCCACCATGTCTCAGTAACTGCAATTCTATTAAAGCCCTGTGATGTAAAGCAGATCTCCAGTTTCTCCTGCTTATTGCCCATACTGCATGCATTGGTGTTTCAGAGCACTTAAATCTTCACTTTTGAGGGGTGGTAGACTTTCTGATTAAAAAATGTAGAATTATTCACAAATTTGGAAAGATTGAGGCACTGGAGCATGTCTGAAGAAGGGCAACAAAACTGGAGCAGGGTTTACAGCACAGATCCTAACAGGAGTGGCTGAGGGAACTGGGGTTGCTTAGTCTGGAGAAAAGGAGATTGATGGGAGACCTCATCACTCTCTATAACTACCTGAAAGGAGCTTGTAGCTAGTTAGGTTTCAGGCTCTTCTTCCTAGTAACAAGCAACAGAAAAAGAGGAAATTGTCTCAAGTTGTGCAGGGGGAGTTTTAAATTGGGTGTGGGAAAAAATTTCTTCACCAAAATGATCGATGGGCACTGGAACCAGCTGCCCAGGGAAGTGACTGAATCATCATCTCTGGAGGTATTTAAAAGGCATGGTTTACTGGGGGTCTGGCTGTGGCAGATTGGACTTGCTGATCTTAGACATCTTTTCCAACATTAACAGTTCTATGATTCTATAATTTTGGTTAGTCAAACAAGGAGTTTCAGAGCTGAATCTATGTCCAAACTAGGAAACACCATAGATTTCATTATGAAAATAAAATATCAAAATAATATTTTCAAAACTGTACCACATGTAACTCTATCTTTCTGTGCTCAGAAGTCATCTCAAAAAAGCACAGATTCTATCTAGTTTTTCCTCCCTACCAACAGTACTGAGTCAACTGATTAAACAAATAGTCTCTAAGGAAATATGCACAAGTACCAAAATAAATGTAAATATAGCCTCCGTAACATTGAGAGTTAGTAGTTTAAGCCTGAACTTAAAATGAAAATTAGTATGTAAAAATTTAATGTATGCAGAAAAATAGAACAGTAGTAATTATATTTTCAATTTTACACACTCATCAACATAGGCAATTCACTCAAAGTGGTAGCTACTTTATTTTCAAGTATGTTACCATTGCAAATTAAGCTATATATGTGAGCATAGATAAAATGATTGACAAAACTTTGCAAGAAGGCTTTTCATATACTAGTAAGTACTCAAAATCCTGTCTCAAAGTGTTTTTATATTTTAAAATTTATTTTGTTGTTGGAAAAAAAATAAAATCGTTTGTAGTTTTTGTACAGCAATATAATAGGGAAACTCCCTATGTTTGGTGCATTTGTTTGATCTCTTCCTTTGAATGAGCACAGCACTTAGCAGTTTGTGAATTTTACTACAGATGCAAATTCTTTTCCTACAGAAATTTTTGAAGATTGTGAAGAACTGTTCCTAGACTAACTCTTTGTTGTATTTTCTTTACCTACTGGATCCCCTGGTCATGATGAGAGTATAAGCATTTTTCAATCAAATTCTCTAGTTATTCCTTTAAAGGGATTACTATCTAGCTGGAGGAAAAAATAACGTATTGCTTCATTTTGTACACATGAAGGTGTTCCTAAGTATCTTCCTTACTTTTTTTCTATTTTCAAAAAACAGATTATTTATTACCATTTATTACCATGTATATATTACGTTACTCACTGAATTGGATTTATAGAAGGTAAATATGCTTAGAATTCAAAAAGTGTAGAAGCTCTTCAATAGAAATTTTTTAATTTGAAAAGTCCTTGTCTGCTTTATAAAGTCTTACACTGCACTGGAGTTATTGTTGAGAAAGTTGTTTCTGATCTTACTAAGTGAAAAGTCAGGCTCAGATCTGATATTTTAAGTGGAACTCAACTCTTACGTTAGTTATTTGAATGGGATAATAAACAACATAAGAGGAATTTAAGTACAAGTGGAAGCTCTATATTTTAGAAATCCTTCCATCACCTTAGAATGGGATTCCACTTTTTTTGTTTTGCTGATAGCAGGGTGTCCAGTTTTAAGTATATAATTTGTAAATGACAAAAAAGCAGGGAGTAACTAATCTAAATGTAAAAGTGTTTCTAAAAACTATTCTAAAAATCAGTATTTCCCCAGAACCTTTTATTTTAACTTTAATTAGTCAGTGTTCTAAACTAATAAATGAAGTTGTACTAAAGATCAGAGCTAGTGTCTTCATATGTAACATGCAATATGCTACAAAACTAGACATATCTGTATAAAATTAAATTCTCCCCAGAATTCAGAGTAAAAGAATTAGCAAGAATAATGGATGCAGTTATAATTTTTGAGCAAATGTGTTCTATATCAAAGAAGTAGTTGACACTATGGTAATTTAATTGTACAACAGCCTTGGTAATCTAAATGTGCATTTTCTTTATTTATTTTCTGGAATAAAATAATGTGCATAAGCAACTGTAGAAAGTCACCATTCATCTCTGTCCGCATCACAGTTGCAGTAATGCTGGGAATCAATGCAGCTACCCTCGAATCCACAAGCACATTTATGTACAGCAGGCAAGGAACCACCCCAGTAGGTCTGTGTTTCATTGGTTCTTCCAATCCACCAGCTCAATGGCATCCCATCTAGAAGGCAGGTTAGAGAAAATCAGTGCCAAATCTTTCTAATCCAAATGAGTTTCCAAAGGGGTAAGCAGAGAAAAATCACCCCTCAAATCTAAAAAAATTTAAACAACTGGGAAAAAAATTACTTATTTTACTTTGAAAATTAATTATTCATTTTAATACTTAATTATAAGGTATTAAATTATTGTTACAGGTTTTTCTTGCACTAGTGGAAATGGGAACTCACAGTCCTAAGCTCAACCAGCCATGATATTAGAAAAATTTAGCTTAAGCAGTTCGTTTATGTAATTCATTTTTAAATGTTCTATGAAAAAGGAGAAACCATTGTCCTAAAAATTAAGGTACTTTATATTCCCAAGGAAAGATCTATTTCAGATCACGGAACTGCCAGCAATGGAATGAGAAGTCTGACAGTAAAGCTATGCAGAAGTGGTCTCATCCCTCCCCAGGAGTACTATAGTGTACTACTACCCAGATCGGTGATGAATGTTAAGCAGATAAATAATGAAATCAGAAATGCCCAAGGACAGCTGTTAAGTTACAGGCAGCAGATTCAGAATTTATATACTCAGAGACAGCAAAAATTATGTTAGCTGTCTTCCTATAAGAAAGTTGATGTACCTGGTGACCAGAAGTGAGGTTTCCCAGGACTACTACATCTCTGCGTGCTGCATCCAGGTAGCATCTTTTGCAGCAAAATTGTAAGAATGGATGTTTTCTTAATGTTACAGTACTGAGTTACAATACTGCAGATTAAGCTCTAAAATGCAGCCAAGCAAGCACAGCAATATATACAGAAGAGATAATAGCTAAAATACATTCACCATAAAGATAAATCATCTTGGATGAGAAGGAAGAAGGGTGACAGATGCAACACAGTAAAGTCAAGGCATGAGAAGAAATCAAGTAGTGTTAAATTATAGAGTTTTTTGCAGATGCACTTTTCTTCACTGTTGTTGGAGTTCCATGTGTTCAGCAGCAGGCCCCCAGGAAAAAGCTGGAATTTATCCTAATCTTAACTTTACTTAAAACTGTCATCGCCTATTAAGCCTCACTGATAGATAAGGCCTCTGTTACACTGTCAATCTCTCAGAGAGCAAGCATACTAACTGCACTCATTACCACACAACTGAAGTCCCAGCAGGCCAAAAACCAGTGAGAGAAGTTTTTGGAAGAGTCAAGCCTGCATAATGGCATCAATGTTCAATATCAGTATTTGTGTTTACAAGTCATCAAAGAAGGAAGAAAACCTGAAGGCAGCTTATAAATAATTTATCAGACAACACTTTTAAAAGCTTCCAACAACTAAGACTGTAAAAAGCATAGCATTTCTGCTGTTTCAATGGCATGCTTTAGGTTAATGTTATAGTCAGGAATTAATACTCTGAGTCTTTCTTTTGGCACACTGGGGCTTGCTTAAAAGCTGATCAGTTATTTGTTCATACAGCTATTCAAGGACATTGTATTTGCTGAAATGCTGCAAGTTCATACTAGCCCAGACAGTTATCCCTGCTTTGGCAGAGAGTATTGCCTAAACAAAATTAATCTATTCATTAAAATACCTAGAGATTTCTTCATAATGATCACATAAATGTATTGACAGGTGACATATTTAATGATACCGTTTGTAAATATTATCCCAGCTGATTGAGTATAATGTATTTAAAAAATAAAATCAGTTGATAATTACTACATGGACTGCATCTTTAAAAAATATTACATGTGGCTATTATCACATTTTGTACTTGTCAGACACAGCTGGTAGACATTATAAATAGCAGACTGGGGAGGGATTAAATTGTACTGTAATCTGATAACATACCTCTTTGCATTTCAAGTTCTGATATTTCATTGGGCTAATAATAAACAGAACAAAAATTTTAATAAACATTATTTGAATTTTGTTTCAATGTCAGGTATACTTTAGCTTTTAGATACATGTGAGTGATTGCTTTTTTTGTTTGCTTCTTAAGCCCGACTATAAAATCATTCAAAGAAACATGCATAAATATTGACAAAGGCATAAAGGTGATCTTAAACTGGGAAGCTTCATGGAGACAAGCTCCAGTTGATGAATTTATGGAACAATAATTAAGTCAAGTCCAAAATTTAAAATTATGTAGCTTTATTTTCCTAAACTTCTGACAATTTTTAAAAACATTTGCATTCTAAAAAGAATTCTTATTTAGCTTTCTGAGCTCTTCTAAATAGGCAGAGCATCCTACAAACTTTGACTATAATTCACAATTACAATACTAATTACCACAATATACTTCTAAAGTTTATGGTACTATGTCACACTGGTATACTAGAAGTTAGTATGTATATCTGCTGGAGCAAGCTGGAAATTATACATTTCACATTAAAATAGGTGAGAAGTATATTTCCAAAACACTAAAAAAACCTAGAACTAGATTTTCAGTAATAGTTTTAAATTTGAAATTACTGCTCTTCAGAGAGAACAAGTACTATGTTCTGTCTTCTCTCCATACCTTTCAATTGAAAGATACATCTTATAGAAAAAGACATGAAAACAAGAGAAGATCCCAAATGATCCCTAATCCCCCCCCTTTTTTAAAATTTATTTTAAAAAAAACAACAAACAACCACAAACTAAAAAACTAAAAACAACCCCAAAAAACAAACAAACAAACAAACCCAACAAAACTTCCTACTGAAGAATATAAGTACATGAAGGGAGAGTATAAAAACTACTGAGACAGGCTTTTTGTCAGTGGTGCCCAATGACAGTAAAAGAGGCAGCAGGCACAAACTGAAGCATGAGACATTCTTCCTGAACATCAGGAAACACTTTTTCACTGTGAGGGTGATTGAACACTGGCATAGGTTGCCCAGGGAGATTGTGGAGTCTCCATCCTTGCAGACATTCAAAACCCTTCTGGATATGGTCACAAGGTCCCTGCTTGAACAGGGATATTGATGATCTGTAGGGCTCCCTTCCAACCTCAGTCTCTCAGTCATTTGTGATTCTATGATACTAAAACTGTGTAAACTCCTATGCTTTGCAGCTGATGCAGTTCAGACACAGAAAACAATCTCTATTTCAGTGGATACTCTATGCATACTGATCAATGAGTTCTCTGAAAAAAGGTACTGCCACATACATTTTGGAAAAAACCCAACACACTTTATTCCTTCTAAAAATCTGAATTTTATATTAAGGAGGTAGTTTAATGAAGAATGATAAAAGGTATAAGGTAAAGGTAATACATCCTCTAAAGAGTCATAAAAATGTGACTTTGGCAGCCTTCAGAAAGCAAAATGTAAACTCTAAGTCTCTTTAATAAGTGTTGTTACTTCATCTCTATATCACAAAACCTTTAAGTGGACTCACTGTGGAAGCCAAGATTGACCATCACTCGACCCCAGGTTTCTCTTAACTCAGTGGAATGGCAAGTTTCATTTGGTGCAGTCTGTGGTAGTCTTTAAATAAAGAATGGTTTTCTGTAGAACTCACAGAGATTTTTCCCATGCGTTTTTACTCCTAGCATTCAAAACCCTGAATTTCAGAGGACTGAGTACAATTGACTGATTGCACTCCTAGTTTTCTAGAAAAACCTGTATTTCTGTGCAATCTTGTTGGATTGCCAAAGTAAAAGTATGAAGTCCTTCTTGCCTAAGCCTTTCCCCCTCTTCTTCTCTGACCTGATTTTTTTCATGTTTTCCAGCTTCATCATTCTGCTGAAACTGTTGAGCTCAGAAGGTGGAATTTATTGTTGGGTTTTGGTATTCACATAGTCTATGTAAGACTTAATAGCCAAAATATGTGAAATACTTAGCACAATTTTTAAGCTCTCTGATGGTGTTACAGCAGCTTTTGAACACCTAACCATAATTCAAAACTTCAGTTTTGAGCCCACAGATAAAAGAGAAACTCAGTTAAGATATCCTAAGCAGTATGTTGCAGAGATGTTTTCAAGTACATACTCTGCCAAGAATGAATTGTAGCCTAAGAAGTCCAGTGATATCCATGACATAATTAAGGAAAAATAATTCATTAGGAAAGAGTTTAGACAGAAACAGAGACTGTTTCACTCAGAGGCCTCCTTTCTGCTTACTAGGAAAGAATACTGAGAGATCAGCAGTTTCAGATTACCTGGTGGACCCATCAAACTACCTTAGCTTTAAAAAAGACAGGAAAACAATGAAATTTTTTACTTTGGAATATTTAGGTTGGATTTTCATGGTAAAGTCTTATAATAGCAGATCTGTGTCAATGACAGTTAAGAATTAATACACTACATGATTTCTTTCTTTTTTTAAAGTGTATCAGGGAAACTGCATTAATTTTCCTCTTAAAATTATACTGTTGTCAAGAATCCACATTTTAACTATTTTTTTTTTCTAAAAATTATTTTATTGGACAATGGAAATCTGATATTATTGACGCTTTTTGTTAAGCCCTCACAACACACACATTACGCTTTCGAAAGCAATGAGTGATAAATCTCTGCTGTTAACCAGTCTGTGTTCTTTCAAGGAGGTATTTTCTCAGTAAATTCTTCATTAAAATTTAAAAATCCCTCGAAGGCAGACCAACAGGGGCTGTGTTAATAATAATAACTGCTAATTTAAAAGGCTTATGAGAGAAATTAAATTTGAAAGCAGTTAATTCTGCGCAACTAGATAATTATAAACTGAGTTGTGTTTTTCTGGTTCAAGTATCTCGTAGCAACATACAGAATCTGAGTACTAGATACCTGAAGTAGTTCAAACTCCAAAGTAGCAAAATGCCATAATCTTGATACAAATAAATACTTTTAGGAGCCAGTAAAACAAGGTGCACTATGCAACATATTAAGATTTGTCAGTTTTACTTACCTATCTTATCTAAAAGCCTTGACTTTTTGCAGTGGTAAATAAACTCTTGTTCACAGTGTTCTGCTTGGTTAATTGTAGCTTGAAGCTGGTGTAAGCTTGCAGAGTACTTGAAAAACACAGTATAGGGTTTCTCCCGATTAGCACTTTTGACTCTGGTTAAGTTGGTGTTGTTATGCTGTATAATTGTCCATGTTGTATCTTTCAAAACATATGTGAAAAGTAATAAAGAATGAAAAGTGGTTGCATAAATTGGTATTAGAAAGAGAATGTATAATGAAATCAACCAAACCTCAAGGTGACTCCTTTGATCACAAAAAGTGCTCTTGGGCATATGAAACAGAGATATAAAGAACTGAGCAAAATTTAAAATAATTAATCACTATTTCTGTTTATAAATAAAACCATGGCTGTAACAGGTATTCAGCTTGTAAATAAGGAAACAGTAAGTGATGACACTCAAATAATTTTCTCTGAAATAAAATAGTTTACTTGGTAAATTGCAATTAACCATAAAAAGAAATAATACTTACAAGTGTTGTGTTGCTCAAACTTAAATTGTTCATAAAATAACATGAAACTCTACCCTAGTTTCTAGCTATGCTACATATATCACTGTAATCTGAATGAATATACTCTGTGTCAGAAAATGGCCAACATTACAGAAAGAAGCAAAAGTAACTTACAAATACAGTCTTTACTTGTAAACTCAGATTACATGAAGGTGAGTTATTCCAGACATGTAAAATCAAACAGCAGTCATTATTTGAAGTACTATTCCAAACCTGTATTTAGTCAGGGACTAAGCTTTCAAAGTTAAATAGGAAGTTGCTTTCAAATACCTGGTGTAATAGTAACTTATGGCAATGAACATGGTATGCTCATTTGTAACTGTAAGACAATTAAGTACTAGGTCAGAAGTGAGATATGCATTTCCCTAAAAAAACATACTGCTCTTAAATCAACTTTTATCTCCGATACTGCTGAGTAAGGCAGCTATGTACTTAAATAGATTGGATAGACAGGCCTTATGATTCATGTAAAGTGGACCATGCAATATATTGCCAGAATATTTATTCCAGAAGCAACCAAACTGTCTGCAGCATTTTTCCTTATGAATCACTAGTAAATATTCGATACTCCAAACATTATTTTTAGAAAAATATACTCTGTGGGAATGCTTGTAATAAAAAAGCAGGAATTACTTGCATATAATTACATATCATTCAAATGGATGAATAATAAACAATATATTGCACATTTATAAAAGGTATGTGCAAAGATGTGCAGTCTGCTGTGAAACAAGCTTTCTTCAACTTGAATGTTGCTTGCACTCAGTAACAAAGCAGTTCAATAACTTTCCAGTTATATTGATGCTTCACAAATATTCTTTCATCAAAAGTCTGTTAACTTTTTACACCAATAATGGAAAGCATTTTCAGTTGTAAAAACTGAATACAATGCAAAAACACACAAGGATTAAACTGGCTGGCACCAGAGCACAAGAATGCATTGATCTCTCTGTCCTATAGTTTGCATAGAAGGAAATGTAATGTAAGGCAGTCTGCTTGGGAGTACAGAGATTACTCCCTCCACATTATTTAATAAATAAAGAGGCCTAAATGTGGGGGCTAATAAATCTCATGTATTTCTGTTGTTTTGTACTTTTGACAAGTCCTCTCCCCTATGAAAAGGGAAGCAATGAGATTTTTCTGTTTCAAATTCCATTTGCAAAGCTTGTGACAATCTGACACCCATGATTAAAATTTACCTCAAGGCAGGGGTGAGAAAACTTCCAGTCAAATCAAATTTAGATTAATGTTCACTGTGTTATACCTTAATAGATAATGTAATTCGAGTAGATATGAGAATATTTTTTTTCCTGACTTGTTGTATTGATGATAAAGTTTCTGACATTGTAATACTAGTATTTCTAGTATTTCTATTTAACAGACCTGCATTTGATTTCATCAGCTTCCTAATGGCCACACATGCCTGACATTGTTGTTATAGAGAGGAAAGAATTCATGGCCACTTAAAAGACAAATATTTATGAGAAAATATAAAAGAAATATCATGCTGATACACTTATTAAAATATTATAATAAAATATGTCTATTTATGCAACATTTTTAACATTGTTTGCCAGTTTTTGGTCATATTAAACAATTTGATTAAGTCCATGTTCATGTCATCAAAAAGCAGACAGCTGGAAATACATCAAATTTATATTTCTTTTTCTACATGCACATATACACAGAAACAAATATATATAATGGCTATGAAGAACACTAAGTTAAAGGCAAACAGGTCAGTCCAAAATTTGCAAAGAAGAAGAAAAGCAAGTCACTGCCAAGTTTCATCATCTTAACTGGAAATATGGACTGTGGGCTTTTCACTCTGAAATTGACCTCCAAGAATAAAACTGGGGAAAGGCACCTTCCTCCCAGTTTCCGGAAAATAAAGCCCCATGAATGTCATGGACAAAGCAGTCCTGTAAGAAATTTAGGTATCTGTCTTACCTGCCTCTGGTGGGAAAAGGGAATACTAGCTATGAGGAAACTGGGAACAAAATGGAAGATTCAGGCTGCACTTCATGATGAAGAACTGATCAATGAGGTTTGCTTAGTGTGGTGAGTAAGTAGTGACATAGAAAAACAGTAACAGCTGTTCATGGACACACAAGGATAAATCAGACACTACACTGTACCTTGGAGGGTTACAAACACTTAAAAAAATGTTCATATTTCTGCCATGATTATTTGTTCTTTTTTAGTCTCATAGGACACTAGGATATTTCTTTTTTAATGACCTGTGTCAATCTGGTTTGCCCAATGTGAATTAGCACAGTTCACTGTAGAAGCCAAAGTCAGGGGCCGACGTAGTGGGACTAGTTGAATTGCACAGACTGATTTAAATTATGAGAATTTTATTATTTCAACATGCATTATAAGCATCATTTAAATTACTGTGAAAATCAGCTAATGCCGTTGGCAAACAGAGTCCTGTCAGTTTCTCAATAAATAGATGTGACCATAAATGGTTTACAAATCAACATCAAAAGCTTATGATAAGATTTTTAAATTAAGTTCTCAATACTAAACCAAATTCAACTTTAGCTTACTCCTGTAGCCTTTTAAATAGCTGTAACAGTGTAAGATATTTTTTTGTCACATGCAACAAGGAAGTGCTTCCATATTTTTTATTAGAAAGTAATTAAAATAAATACAGGCTAAGTAAAAAGAAAAGGAAACAGCCACAAATAAATCAATAATTAATTTCAAAAAGCTATTTAAGCATAAGCTTCACTGAAAAGACATGTACCAACAGGCATACCGAGATTGTATCAATTGGTTTGTTAAAAAGCAGACTTATGACTAAATCTGTTATCTAAAATTTGCAGTGTTATAATCAGTCATTCAAAGAACTAGATGCAGAAGAGGAGGCAGAGTGCATGAAAGTGAGGCTGTGAGAGTCCCATTTTCATTTGCATCCTCCAGAAGATCTACTTACAATGTGATAAATGAAGTTTAACTTCTGTATTTCTCATAACAAGTGCCAGTTCTGAACTACAATTTTTCAGAGTGCTACTGGAAAAAATCAGTAATTTTCTCATAAAACATAACTTATTTCTCATTTCCTTAAATATCCTCAAGAGTCTGTAACTTCAATGAAAATAAAGTTGCTTCCCAAAAATAACTGGTATGACATTGTCTCCATATGGAACATGTCCCATTTATGCAAAGCGCAACAAGAATGCAATGTTAGCTTCACAGCCTGAATCCTGTAATTATTCTAATTTCTGCAATTCTTTGCCCAATATTCTGAGCTAAGAAGTCACTTCCATTTTGTTGTACATGTTCACATTAAATTCATAAGCTACAGAGGCTTCATACTTGGTAAGTCATGTTTCAATATAATGAGCATTCATACAGACCCAGCTGTGATTTAAGGAACTTTATCACCTCACCTGTCATATTACAGTATACAAGAAACGGTCCCAAGGGTCCACTTCCATCTGAATCAATATTGTAAAAGCCTGAAGTGCTCCCTTTGTGCTTATAGGCTTCACACGATTGCTCATAGATCGCTGTAAAGGAATACATTCCATCACAAATATAATGGCATAATTTCACATTTTATTCAGGGAATTAAAAACAATAACAACAAAAAAAACAAACCCATGAAGCTTTTCAATGAATAAAAAAAAGTGTGAGTTCATGCTGGAGACTAGAGAAGAAACCACACAATCAGAACTACTCTTTTATTTGAATTTGTAAAGAGCCTTCGGTTTTATTTGCTGTGGAGATCACAAGGGACATTTTTCAAACATTTTTTTCCATATTTCAAGCTGTAAATTTGAGACAAAACAATGAAATGTGGGTGAGTAAATGGTTGTATAAACTGCCAAGTTATGTGAATGCCAAGACCATTACTTAGATAAGATGCTGGTAGCCAGATTTTGAGGAAACACTAATACCTCAATCAAATCAGATTGATTGTTGTTGTTTTGTTTTTATTACATATGATGAAAGGAAGAAGTGTTTCTAGGTGTTCTGATTGCCTCCTGGCATTTTTTTGCTTTCACACTTTTGATTTTCTTCCCTTTTTAAAGAGAAGCCCAAATGACTTGTCAGAGACCATAGTAAAAGTGCTACATAAGCAGAGACAAAATGACAGCTCCTTGGTCCCTTATCATGTATACCTTACATCAGCCAAGATCTCAAGAAAAGTCTGTGATGGCATCTTTATGATAAAAAACCTGGGGAAAAGGCCTTAGAAGTCCTCCTCTGCATTTAAAAAGGTGAGAACCACTGATGACAATGCCACTGCTACAACAGCATGATCTTAACTTTTCCTTTAACCATTACAATGCTAACGAACAGTCATACTTTTCTGGTCTTTCTTTTCAATGTTAGACTCTGTGTTCTATCAGTTATTATAGAAACTTGAAAACACCTTGCCAAAAAGAGAAAGCAGTCAGATTCTGAAAAAAACAAGGTGAGAACCCTACACAAATAACAAAATAACTCCATAACAATTATTAACAGACTAGAAAATTTTTATCTATGTAAGTTCAGTTTAATTTAAAAAGAAACCTATTAAGTACTAGCACAGTAATCCAAAAGCAGTGTTGTTTTTAAGGAACATTGGTTTCTGGAAGAGTGTAATCTCAGTATTCTTTGCCTGATGGTTACTGATGTTATATGGCAACACTAATCAAAAAGACAATAAATTATTCAGATTTCTTATGTTACAGAATATTCAGAATGTAAAATTTATGTACATTTTAAATGGAATTTTATGGCTTCTTACAGTAAATATGCTCAGTTAAATTTTACCTTGATAAAAAAAAATTACATTTTTCACCAATTATTTTATGAATCTGGCACAAATTCACAAGTATTCTGAAATTAGTAAATTTATCCTAGATATTTAACAAACAAAATGTTGCTTTGAGAACCAAGAGGCTTTTTTTTTTTTTTTCTTTGATATTACACAGAAATATGATAACATAGCTAAAAATTATCCCACGTTCTTGATTAGGAATAAGTTTGAAAATCACTAAACCCAAGTACTACAAATCTTCCATTTTCTATCCAGAGATACAACATTTTATTAATCATAAACAAACATCCCAGAAGGCTTTTATAGGTATTTTTGAAAATCAGTGAAAATTCCATAACACATATTACATTTGTCATGGACTGTTCTAATAATTAGGAAGCCATGTCCTCCATCTGTCCCCATTAACATCACCTGTTGATTCAATATATTTTCTTTTAAAATTATAATTCATCAAATCACTTTCATCTTCACTTTGGGCTTAGCATATTTTTATATTATACACTGTGGTATTCTAAAACACCTGTACTATTGGCATCCTTTGTTTTTATGAACATTTTCTTAAAATTGTTATTTATGTCACTGTGTTTTTACAATTAAGGCATTAAAGGAGAAGCCATCACTGTTGCTGACTTTGTACAGGCTAGATTTAACCAGCAGTCTTATAAATATAGTAATTTATCAAAAAAAAAAACATGTTTGTAGACACCTTTTAATTAAATCTGCCAGCAAGGACTGTATAGATTTTATAAGGACACTTTATAAGGACAGAATTATTTTTCTAATCATCAGAGGAATCCTCAGAATTTTTAAAAATACTTTATGAAAGTCTGAAGTTTCATAAAGAGTTCTAGTCATTAGAAGTATACAATAAAGGCCAAAGTAGTGATTTATTCTGCTTCCGAGAACATCTTTTGGTAAATAAAGATGAAATAAATAAATAGATTTCTAAATGATTTGCTGATTCCAAAAATCTAATTATACAGATGGAAGATATTACTACTGAACATTTTATGTAAATTATGAAAAATATGAAAAGTATGAAACTGAAATAGATACCTATTAGGACTTTCAAGGGGTCTTTTGCTGCTACCTATTTTTTGAATTCTCAAGGCATTTCCTGAATCAGCTTACAAATACCTATGTGACTGAAAAATCTTATAATATGAATGATTAATATAAATGCCTATTTTTGCAGAAAAAAAATTCAATCTGAAATAAAAGAACAGTCAGAAAACATCTTAGACTTACAATAGTGGCAAGTACTTCCCTTGTAACCAGTATAGGAACAGTTACAGTAGAAGCTGTTCCAAGACTGTGAGCATTCACCACCATGTTCACAGTAATTAGGCAAACACCTAAAAAGAAAAACAAAACAAAACACCACAAAAACAACAACAAGGATTACTTCCACTGTCTTACGTACATTTACATGTCACTTATATTTATCAAGGAATGCAAAATTATGAGAAAGAAGTATAATGACATAAAGGAAATCTTCAAGTTCACTCAGGAAGATGCTAAAATCAGGAAGATTACTAAAAAGTTTGGAGAATTTTCCTTTATCTTCCCACTATTTCTGTTGTTTTGAGAACAAAAATAAAGCGTAAGACATGTTACTGTTGCTTATTAGCATTCAACTAGCTGCAGTTCAGTATAGATTGATAAACCAGTGATTAATTTTGTGGGAAATGGTTCTTCCCCACATAAGTCTAAACAAAATGCCTGTTAAGTCAGCGAAGGCCTTCTGCTGATTATACCCAGCTAAGGGACCAAAAACAGGGTTGCTGCTCAAGGACAAATGAAGGCAAAACATCAGGTGTGATACAAGGCAGGATGGATGAGCAACAAGTTATGCATTGCCCCTGTTAGTTACCACCCCAACTTGGTGCTCACGGATGCCAACTAGCCCTCGACACCAGTATGTTCATGCATTGCAGCAGCGACACTGACTGGGGTCACTGGGGTATAAAAGATGACGGGTTTGACAGGTGAGAGGGGCCTGCTCGGACGGTTCTTGCGTGGGACACCTCCCTGCTGCTCATCGGACTCGCCCTGCTGCGGAGCCTGGTCCCGGGGCTCTGCCGGGCCTGCTGACCTGCCCGCCCTGGGGATCCAGCCTGAGCTGTAACAGTGGGCGCGCCGAGGTCTGACCCCTGCAGCACTGGGTCTTCTGGAGCCAGAGCTCCCCCCAGTTTTGCTGTCCATCTGTCCCCATTAACATCACCTGTTGATTCAATATATTTTCTTTTAAAATTATAATTCATCAAATCACTTTCATCTTCACTTTGGGCTTAGCATATTTTTATATTATACACTGTGGTATTCTAAAACACCTGTACTATTGGCATCCTTTGTTTTTATGAACATTTTCTTAAAATTGTTATTTATGTCACTGTGTTTTTACAATTAAGGCATTAAAGGAGAAGCCATCACTGTTGCTGACTTTGTACAGGCTAGATTTAACCAGCAGTCTTATAAATATAGTAATTTATCAAAAAAAAAAACATGTTTGTAGACACCTTTTAATTAAATCTGCCAGCAAGGACTGTATAGATTTTATAAGGACACTTTATAAGGACAGAATTATTTTTCTAATCATCAGAGGAATCCTCAGAATTTTTAAAAATACTTTATGAAAGTCTGAAGTTTCATAAAGAGTTCTAGTCATTAGAAGTATACAATAAAGGCCAAAGTAGTGATTTATTCTGCTTCCGAGAACATCTTTTGGTAAATAAAGATGAAATAAATAAATAGATTTCTAAATGATTTGCTGATTCCAAAAATCTAATTATACAGATGGAAGATATTACTACTGAACATTTTATGTAAATTATGAAAAATATGAAAAGTATGAAACTGAAATAGATACCTATTAGGACTTTCAAGGGGTCTTTTGCTGCTACCTATTTTTTGAATTCTCAAGGCATTTCCTGAATCAGCTTACAAATACCTATGTGACTGAAAAATCTTATAATATGAATGATTAATATAAATGCCTATTTTTGCAGAAAAAAAATTCAATCTGAAATAAAAGAACAGTCAGAAAACATCTTAGACTTACAATAGTGGCAAGTACTTCCCTTGTAACCAGTATAGGAACAGTTACAGTAGAAGCTGTTCCAAGACTGTGAGCATTCACCACCATGTTCACAGTAATTAGGCAAACACCTAAAAAGAAAAACAAAACAAAACACCACAAAAACAACAACAAGGATTACTTCCACTGTCTTACGTACATTTACATGTCACTTATATTTATCAAGGAATGCAAAATTATGAGAAAGAAGTATAATGACATAAAGGAAATCTTCAAGTTCACTCAGGAAGATGCTAAAATCAGGAAGATTACTAAAAAGTTTGGAGAATTTTCCTTTATCTTCCCACTATTTCTGTTGTTTTGAGAACAAAAATAAAGCGTAAGACATGTTACTGTTGCTTATTAGCATTCAACTAGCTGCAGTTCAGTATAGATTGATAAACCAGTGATTAATTTTGTGGGAAATGGTTCTTCCCCACATAAGTCTAAACAAAATGCCTGTTAAGTCAGCGAAGGCCTTCTGCTGATTATACCCAGCTAAGGGACCAAAAACAGGGTTGCTGCTCAAGGACAAATGAAGGCAAAACATCAGGTGTGATACAAGGCAGGATGGATGAGCAACAAGTTATGCATTGCCCCTGTTAGTTACCACCCCAACTTGGTGCTCACGGATGCCAACTAGCCCTCGACACCAGTATGTTCATGCATTGCAGCAGCGACACTGACTGGGGTCACTGGGGTATAAAAGATGACGGGTTTGGCAGGTGAGAGGGGCCTGCTCGGACGGTTCTTGCGTGGGACACCTCCCTGCTGCTCATCGGACTCGCCCTGCTGCGGAGCCTGGTCCCGGGGCTCTGCCGGGCCTGCTGACCTGCCCGCCCTGGGGATCCAGCCTGAGCTGTAACAGTGGGCGCGCCGAGGTCTGACCCCTGCAGCACTGGGTCTTCTGGAGCCAGAGCTCCCCCCAGTTTTGCTGCCGCTTGCCGGGGAGCAGCTGCCTGCCAAGGAGAGAAGCAGCAGCTGCCTGCAGAGAGGGGTGGCACTCACTGCCGCCACTGCCTCTACCGCTACAACTGGGGAAGAACCTGCCGGCAACTGTATTGGGGGCTGCACCCCACCTCACCCCACAAGCCAGCTGCCAGGGGGAACTGCCTTGCCGCAGGAGGGTAACGACTCCATGCAATTCTTCCTCTCCCCATTCTTGCACACACATCAGGCTTGCCCTCTTCCCTCCCACTGCTTTGATCCACCAGCCTCTCTAGGAGAGAACATCTTAAGGGAACACTACTTTTGCATTACTTCCCTGAAGGACACAGTACCTTTACATTACTCCCTGATACATCCTTGGTGGCCATTTGCCATTTTTACATTTTTCCTAAACGTCATCGCTCAGTTTGTGTTAACCCTTAATAAACCGCTTAATCTGTAAACTAAACACTGGCCTCAGTAACAATTTGTGGGCTTGCTGAGGGTGGTATTCTAATCTCTGCTCTAAAATATGGTCCCGCAGCGGCCGTTCCTCTGTGAGAGGTGAACTCCACACGTGCACTCGGCTTCATTTAAAAACCCATCCAAACTGGGGGGGGAGGGGGAATTTGCTGAAGCATTCTGACAGCCGGTAGCTTCTGTGTTGGCATCAGCTTGCGACAGATATACATGCTGATTTTTCACTGCCAAGTTTTGCAACTGGTAGGATTTCCTCAACAAGATATTTCACAGCAAAGCAGCATCACAAGACATTTCTTTTTATTCTTCTAAAAGTAATAGAATTAAAACCAAACCAAACTAAACAAACACACACACACACAAAACAAAAACAAACAACAAAAAAATAACTAAGAACATAGCAATTATACTGACCATAACTGAGAGCTATTTCTTATTCTAAATAACGATTGCTTCCTATTCTAGAAACAGTAGTGTTTAGTATGCCAGCTCCATTCAGTTACAATAGGTAACATCCACTAAAAACACTGTTCATTCTAAGAGCAGAAAATTGAAGATTTATTTTTTTTAATTATTGCTCTCTTCTGGATTTACAGTGGTTGACTGCAAGGGATATTTGCCTGCAATTGTTTAATAGTTAAGTCTGAAGGAATATACCTGAAATATAAAATATTGCATGACATGAAAAACAAGAAAATTCACCTTTTTGTGGTCACAACTGAAAATATTTTGGAACAGAGTGACACACATTAACCAATTATTTATCAGGTTTTCACTTTAGAAGTTAGGTAACATTCTGACTGCAGCAAGTGTATGTATATATAGGTGTGTATGTGATAGACCTTGGAAAGTAATAAAAGGCTTTGTTGTTGATATTGACCACAGGAAAAATAAACAATATCCATTAATATTCACAGGTTTTTTAAAAATGTCTTTTAATTAATTCAATACATCTTAGTAGGGTATTAAATTAGGATTGTAGGAAGTCCAGCAGTTCACACAACTGCCCAATGAATAATTCAGGGCTTTTGCATATTCACTCCTTCAAACTCTCAAATAATTTATTATTTTTTTCATAAACAAGGATAAGCAGAGGTTATCAACAAAGGGAAGGAAAAAAACCAAACCAACCAAACAAAAAAAAGTAGCAGGTAAAAAAATTAAAGTGGCATAGGTCACCTATTTTCAAGGAAATAAGTGAGATTTTTGGAAGTGAAAGAGCTGATCTTGTATCTATTATCTTGTTCATAGAATTGTATTTTAAGACAAGTCTGTAGATTACATAAGTCTGAATGAGCTCTGGTTTGGAACATAAAAAAGAACTTTAAGCATCAGGCTTATAATAATTTTGATACAAAATATTTTGTATGAAGGAATTGTGTGAATGTGCCTAGTAATAATTCTTAGCATGTTTGATTTTAGTTTTCTATGAACATGACTAGACATTAGTTATAATAAATGAACACCTGCAACATAACTGGCACTCAGGACTTTCTGTGTATCCTCTGATGGTTGCTCTGCTTGCAAGTATTTCAGTTGTAATTTTTCTTGCCTCTTTCCTTTTTGAGAAAGATATCAATATCTCTAAAATGCAAGTAATTTACCTGGTCTTTGTTTGTATTGAGTCCTTGTCCATACTAACTAAACTTCCTAAGTGTTCACAAGGTAAAAAGCTTAGATGAAATTGGTGATTCTTGAAAGAACTTCAGTAGATGTGAAAGTAATTTAGAGTATAATTTCAATCTTTTAGCATTAAATTTTACATCTTCCCTCTTTTTCAGAATTTATGATAGAAAGTGGACAGTAACTGTCCACATCAAAGTGAAAATGTAATTACTTTATATGCTGCAACACTTATAAAAGCAAGATTTAGAACAGTGCTTTCTTAGAGGAAACTAATCTTATAACAAAACATTTGCTAAAATTAGAAAAGTATTTATAATATTTAATCTGTAAAAGGTAATTTTTGGATTCATCAAAATGTCTGCTTGAACCAGAAAAACTGAGCTGATTAAGCCTTTACCACATATTCTTTGCTAATATGCTTGTAAGTTTATGACATCTGAAAATTGTATATAATTTAAAACTAAGGCAGCAGGCTAATAATAATCATAAGCTAAAACTGAAAGAAGAACACTAATCCAGAACACAAGCATACTTTTGTTAAAGAGGAAAAATAAGAACATCATGTGCCAGTTATCTGCTAAATACATGGTTCCAAATAGCATGGTTCCAAACTATGGCTAAAAGATATTTTGAAAATAATAAGTTGTTTTAATTTTTATCTTACCTCAGTCTTCAATTAGAAAAAAATTATTACAAAGTATTACAAGTATCCTGATGTTAGTCTGTTGGGGGTTTTGCTTGGTTTTGTTTTGGTTTTTTTTAATAGAATCAAAGAATCATTGAATGGTTAAGGCTGGAAGGGAAATTAAAGACCATCTAGGTCCAATGCCCTGCTATGATCAGGGACATCTCATGCTTGACCAGCTGCACAAGGCCTCATCCAACCTGGCCTCGAACACCTCAGAGAGGGGAATACCACAACTTCCCTAGGCAACCTATTCTAGTGCATTACCACCCTCATGGTGAAGGATTTCTTCCTAATATCTAATCTAAATCTATCCTCTTCGGTTTACAACTGTTATCCTTTGCCTATTGCTACACTCTGTGATGAAAAGTTTCTCTCCATCTTTCCTGTAGGCTCCCTTTAGGTACTGAAAGGCCTTAGGTTAGATGACGCCAGTTGCTCTGCCACCATTCACCGTCTCTGTAGCCTTGTTGTAGAAGGTCATCAGATTGGTCAGGCATGACTTGCCCTTCTTGAAGCCATGTCGGATGTCACCAACCACCTCTTTATTTTCTATGTGCCTTAGCAGGCTTTCCAGGAGGATCCGCTCCATGATCTTGACAGGTATAGAGGTGAAACTGACTAGCCTGTAGTTCACTGGGTCTTTCTGTTTCCTCTCTTTTAAAAACAGGGGCTATGTTCCCTTTTTTCCAATCAGCAAGAACCTCACCAGATGGGAATGACCTCTCAAATACGATGGACAGAGGCTTAGCAATTGCATCCACCAGCTCCCTCAGGACCCGTGGGTGAATTCCATCAGGTCCCATAGATTTATGCACCTTCAGATTCTTTAGATGCTCATGAACCTGCTCTACTCCTACAGTGGGGAGTAATTCACTCTCCCAGTCCCTGCTTTCACCTATTGTGGCCTTTGTGTTGAGGCTGGAGCACTTGCTAGAGAAGACTGAGGAAAAGAAGTAATTGAGACCTCCTGTGTT